GGAAGGGAAGGATTTATACTCCTTGCAGACAGCTGGTCATTTGCCTCCTTTTAGAGAGTCGTTGAGGCCACTTGGAGGTTTATCTGTGTCCTCAAGGTCACCTGAGTGGGGCAAATGGGCGTGGAGCCTTCTTGTAACTGCAGAAAGGACCGTGTTGTAGACTGGAGATGCTTGATGTTGTGTCCCTCCCTCTCTGTTGAGGGAGAGGGAGGTCAATTTTGATCTAGATGGCCTCTTTGCCTCCTCTTTCAAACCAGCGGTCCTCTCCCTCTAAAATGTGTGTCTTGGCTGTTCTCAAAGGCGGCCTTCGTCTTTTAAATGCAGATGAACTGCTGAATCTTGTCCTGATGGGTTTGCTCTCCTGTGTTGTGCCCTGCGTTTGTGAAGTCGTTTTGTTTCTCCAGTGTACAAACTTGCACGCTGCTCACTGCATTAAGAAGCTTCTGGGATGAGAAGCGAAACATCTTCAAAGAAAAACAAGAAAGTCCAACTGCCTCCTGAAAAAAAAAAGCATCTTTGGGACCACCAGGGGCCTGGATTGACTGAGAATCTCCAAAGACATCAATTCTCTATAGTTGTTTCTACGCAGGCTGCCTGGGGGATTCTGGGAGTTGAAGTCCGCACGTTTTAAAGTCACATTTTAAAGTTGAGAAACTCTGCCTTAGGCTCTCCCAACCCCGATAAAACCTGTGATTTCGTGACAATGATGTTTGAAGGACTGTAGTACAGGTAGTCCTTGACTTACGACAGCTCATTTAGTGACCGTTCCAAGTTACATCACTGAAAAAAAGTGACTTTAGGACCGTTTTTCACACGGCCGTTTCAACATCCCTGCGGTCACGGGATCAAAAATTGACCGCTCGGCAACTGACTCATATTTATGACGGCTGCAGCATCCCGGAGTCATGGGATCCCCTATTTGCGACCTTCTGACAAGTGGGAAACCAAATCCACTGAACGAGCGGATTACTAACTTATCAACTGCAGTGACCCACTTAACGACTGCACCGAGAAAGGTCCTAAAATGGGGCAAAATTCACTGAGCAAATGTCTCCCTTAACGACAGAAATGTTGGGTTCAGTTGTGGTCGTAAGTCGAGGACTACTTGTAGCAGGGCAGATTCCCTAGGCCTCCACCCATCTTAAAGCATGCTGGCTGGGAATTTTGGGAGTTGAAGTCCACCCATCTTAAAGAATTCTGGGAGTTGAAGTCCACCCATCTTAAGGCATGCTGAGTGGAGAATTCTGGGAGTTGAAGTCCAACCATCTTCAAGCATGCTGGCTGGGGAATTCTGGGAGTGGAAGTCCAGCCATTCTAAAGCAGGCTGGCTGGGAAATTCTGGGAGTTGAAGTCCACCCATCTTAAAAGTCACTAAAGTTGAGAAATTCTGCCCTGGGCTCTCCCAACCATATGTGAAAGCAGAAAAAGCAGGTTATTTTGGTACAATGATGTTTGAAGGACTGTAGAACAGTGTTTCTCAACCTTGACAATTTTAAGGCATGTGGACTTCAACTCCCAGAATTCCACAGCCAGCATTGCTGGCTGTGGAATTCTGGGAGTTGAAGTCCACATGCCTTAAAATTGTCAAGGTTGAGAAACACTGCTGTAGAATAAGTTCTCAAACTTTTTCAGGACCTGACTGAGAGGCTTCGGTCACAGAAGTTGGATTACTTTCGCATGAAAAACTGGAAACTAGAAGATTCTGCGGTTGGTTCATGTAACATGCTAAACAAATCAGTGTTTCTCAACTTCGGCAGCTTTTTAAGATGGGTGGACTTCAACTCCCAGAATCCCCCAGCCAGCATGCTTTAAGATGGGTGGACTTCCACTCCCAGAATCCCCCAGCCAGCATGCTTTAAGATGGGTGGACTTCAGCTCCCAGAATTCCTCACCCAACATACTTTAAAATGCATGGACTTCAACTCCCAGAATCCCCCAGCCAGCATGCTTTAAGATATGATGACACTGAAAAAGCTGACTTACAATCGGACCTCACACTTATGACCATTGCAGCATCGCCAAGGTCAAAATCCAGGAACATGCATTTATGACAATTGCAGCATTCTAGGATTGTGTGATCACCCTTTGTGACTGTCCGACAAACGCCAGTGGGGGAAGCCGCATCCACTTAATGACCAAGTGGCGATTTTCTTAATGACTGCAAAAAAAGAGGTTATCGGCGTCCCACATTAAACGACTGCATTGTTTAGTGACGGAAGTTTATCCCAATTGCAGTCGTAAGCTGAGAGCAGCCTGTACTTTTTGCTAACCGTGTTCCTGCTCCTAGCCACCATTGAGGTGAACTGTAAGAAAGGTGGGGGACAGGTTCACAAGCTCGTTTAGACCCAAAACCGGCGGCCCTTGGTTTCCCTCTGGACGGCACCACAATTAAGGCGGTCGATGCAGCCGGACACCGGCAGAAACACCGCACAAAAAGTGTGATTGCTGCTCCTTTTGCAATCCTTGCAAGAATTCTGTTTGGGCTGTGGAAAAATTCTGTGCTTAGAGAAGGTGAAAATGAATTCTCATCCCTTTCCGTTGTGATGCCCCAGGAAAGTAAGTCAAAGATGAACAGGCTCCGCTAGGAATTCTGTGCCTCTGATTGAGTCCCTGCTCTTCCTCACTTCCTTCCAAACAAAGGCTGAAGGAGAAGATGGCTTCCATCCAAGCCATTCTTGGGGGTTGGGGGGGGGCACTCTCCAAGCCAAAAGGAAGAAGTCTAGCAGAGTCAAACTCTCTCAGAGGGCTCCTGTTGCCACTCTGCGTGAGTCACGCCATCCCGAGTTTCTTGTGCGGGTGTATATATTGTAATAGTCATTTTTAATTGTAATAGTAGTAAAGTTGGAAGGGACCTTGGAGGTCATCTAGTCCAACCCCCTGCTCAGGCAGGAAACCCTACACCATTTCGGACAAAGGGCTGTCCAGTCTCTTCTTAAAAACTTCCAGTGTTGGAGCATTCACCGCTTCTGGAGGTAGGTTGTTCCGCTGGTTAATTGTTCTGACTGTCAGGAAGTTTCTCCTTAGTTCTAGGTTGCTTCTCTCCCTGGTTAGTTTTCACCTGTTGCTTCTTGTCCTGCCTTCAGGTGCTTTGGAGAATAGATTGACTCCCTCTTCTTTATGGCAGCGCCTGAGATATTGGAATACAGCTATCATGTCCCCCCTTGTCCTTCTCTTCGTTAAACTAGACATACCCAATTCTAGCAACCGTTCCTTATATATTTTAGTCTCCAGCTTTGGGAGCTACTGGGGTGGATGGGGGGGGGTGTCCGTACCTGTCCAACCACATCAACGGATGTCCATGCCTCCATATTCCCTTCTGGAGGTTCAGATGCACCCTGTGTTAAGTCCCATGAATGACTAAACCAGTACAGAAGAACAGAATAACTGAGTTGGAAGGGACCTTGGAGGTCATCTAGTCCAACCCCCTGCTCCGGCGGGACACCCTACTCCATTTCAGACAAATGGTTGTCCAGTCTCTTCCGAAAAGCTTCCAGCGTTGGAGCATTCACCGCTTCTGGTGGCAAGCTGTTCGCTGGTTAATTGGTCTTCCTGTCAGGAAATTTCTGCTTGGGTCTAGCTTGCTTCTCTCCTGGATGAGTTTCCACCCGTTGCTTCTTATCCTGCCTTGTGTGAATGATGACCAAAGTGGCCTTCCCTGAAGGAAGGAGAACACTGTTTGCTGTCCTGTACAGGACGCAAAACCTCATGACTGTCAAGAGAAGATACTTTATCTTTTCTCATGACTGTCAAGAGAAGATACTTTATCTTTTGCCTCGGGCACATTACTTCTACAGTGTGTACGCAGCTGCCAAGGTCTTTTTTTTTTTTATTTACAAAAACAAAACAAAACTAAGAATGAAGGTAGAAGAATTTGGTAGGAGACCATGTTGTCTACCCATGGAGCTCCATGGAAGCCAATTCTGTCATGGCTCCGTGGACCTTCCAGGGACTGCATGGACCTTTCACGGAATGTACGGAATTGCCATGAGGTGCACAGAACTTCCACGGAGGGCATGGAACTTCCACGGAGTGCACAGAAACTCTCACGAAGTTTAGAGAACATCCCCAAACCGCCTCATCCACGTCACAGTCATGGAACATGGAGTACACAGAACCTCCGTGGATGATATAGAACTTCCATGGATTGTATGGAACTTCCGTGAAGTGCGCAGAAGTTTCAGAGTACACAGAAAGTCCGTGGAGTTTACAGGACTTCCACGGAGTGCGTGAAACTTCCATGAAGGTTGCGGAGGGCGCGGAACTTTCAGGGAGTGCATAGAACTTTCACAGAATGCTTGGATCTTTCACGGAGTGTATGGAATTGCCACGGGACGCACAGAACTTCCACGGAGTGCACAGAACTCTCACCAAGTTTATAGAACATCCCCAAACAACCCCATCCATGTCATAGTCATAGACCTTCCATGGCGTACACAGAACCTCCGTGGGTTATGCAGAACTTCCATGGATTTTATGGCTCTTCCATGAAGTGCACAGAACTTTCAGAGTGCACAGAACTTCCATGGGATTTACAGAACTCCCACAGAGTGCACGGAACTTCCATGAAGTGCACAGAACCGTCTCGGGGAGTGCACAGAAAAATTCCAGATGGCATGAAATTTTTATGAAGTGCGTGGCACGTCCACGTAGTGTACAGAACTTCCAGGGAATGCATGGAACTTTCATGGAGTGGGGAGACAGGACAAGGGACGGCAGGCAACCTCCACTTCCGATACCCCTGTATTTGTGTTATCATTAGCAGGGCTTAAGCCAGTGGTTCTCAACCTTTTTAATGCCGCGACCCCCAACCGGTCGTAAGTCGAGGACTACTCAACTGGTGCAGCACCGTTTGCAGAATGGGACCTTTGGCGGGCTCAGCAGGGCAGAGACAGCCTGGACCATTCCTATTGGCTTTGGAAAGCCAATAGAATTAGACTCTATTCAAGAGAGTCTATTCTATTGGCTTTCGAAAGCCAATAGAATAAAAGAGAGTAGCACAACTAAGGAAAAGGGGGGGAAAATGGCGGACTGCGTTGTTTGGCGACCCCCGTGAAATGGTCGTTCGACCCCAAATGGGGTCCCGACCCACAGGTTGAGAACCATTGGCTTAAGCAAAGAGCTGGCCGCTGCGCCACAGTCCTTCGCAAAGCCGGACTGAAATCAGCGTGCTTCCGCTCTCTATAATTTGATAAAACCCGTTCAAAAACTGCTCATTCTAATCAGACCAAGCTGGCCAGCGCACCCTCGCCTTCTAAAAGGTTCACACAACACTCTCAAGTTAAAATGGGGCTGGCTAGTTTACTTACCCTTTGCGGGGCAAGCCTGGAATTTCGTTCTATAAAGCACAGTTCTGGAAGTGGCAGATTTAGCATGTTGTGCAAACTCAACCCAAGTATCTCGGCAAGAAACAGAATTTTACAAAGCTGGGAATCCTCTCTAGGTAGGCCCCGCTGGAACCCCTGAAATCTAGGATGAATTTCCAGCCATACACACTTCCCTCCCACCAGGATCAGCCTTGCCACTAAGCGTGGAACACCCAGGAATTCTGTGCTGCGAGCCGGGTGTGACGCGAGTACAACTGTTGCAGTGGTGGGACCCACATGTAGCACCAAGGAGAAGGGGACTCGGGGGGGGGGTGTCTCTTCCCCCAAGAAAGTTCTTGTTCCTAGAGAGGAACAACAGCCCTGCAGGAGCTCAGGATGTGCGGTTCACATCTGGGCGTGTTGGCACGCGTGGGACCCTCTGGAACCACGTTAAAAAAAAACAACAACAGAAAGAGGAAAAACGAAACGGACAATGGTCATTTTCGGAAAGCGCTTTCGCAGTCCGAAATTGAATCCCCCCACCCTTCCAGAGCCCAAAAGAAAAAATAAAATGCGGGGGGGGGGGGGAGAGAGAAGAGTGAATGAGTAAAGAAACCAGGAGGGCTCCCCCCCCAATGCTTTGTGCAGCCTTCCCGTTCTTTTTTTTCTTCTTCTTAGCAGCAGATACTCGTTGCAACTCGTTTCACAATCGCTGTTCCTTCCTGACTTACCGACAGTCCCTTTGCCCACACGCGGGTGGGTGGGGCAGTGCCCGGGCCTGCCCCTGCCTGCCCACCCCCTCAGGGAGGAGGAGGAGTTTTGCAAAGGCCAGGAAGAATCCAATGAGGAAGCGCCAGGATGAAGAGAACCCCCAAAACACACACACGCACACACGCACACACGAAGAAAAGAGCCTCCTTTTGTGTCGCGCGCAGATCTGGAACGGGACACAAATCTGCACGCTTGGGAAGTGGGGCACGCCGGCCCCTCCAGGCCACCTACGGGGGAAATCAAGCATCTCTCACTGTTGTTTTCCTGCTTTGCTCTTCCTCCTCCTCCTCCTCTTCCTCTCTGCAGCAAGGAAGAAGGTTATCAAGCCAAGCCACACACCCCCTGACCAGCCCTATTTGACCGAAGACGGAGTCCGCTCTGCCCCACTGTATTTCAAGAGGTGGCTGTAGTCTGTGAGGGTGTGCTGAGGGCCCGGCGTTGACGTCCGCTGGACCCGGGCGTGAGCTGCCTGACCTTCCCCGCTGTTGAACGTGTGGGTGCGCCTCAGGTGAGCGCTCCCCTTGCTGCCCGTGCTGTTACTGTTGAAGTTCAGCTTCTCGGGATTCCACTGATTGCCCGTGTCCCCGCTCGGAGCGGATACAACCCGCCGCCGATCTGGACTGTCGTGCGGCGTGATAGGCAGCTCGCTGCCGTACGAGCTCCGAGTCCCACAGGGCCGGTGCGCCAGTGGGCCTGGCTGTGGCTGGATGCTTCTCAGACCCTCGCCACCACTCACCGGCAGATAGCGCATGTCTAACGAGAGGTCTGCTCCTTCGCTGTCCAGTTCTTGGTCCATCAGCACAGACTGGCAGGAAATGGGGATGACTCGTCCGGAACTCAGGTGCGACGGCACCGGGGCGTGTCCCGCGTGGAGAAGGATAACCGAGGACGGTGGTTCTCCTCCGCGCAGGGAAGCGTTAATGAGATTGTGGCTATATTCCCAGCTGCACGGCTTGGGGTACCGTTTCTGCTGCAAGGGGGTCTGCTCTGGCGTGGGGAGTACCCCCGAATCGAGGTCGTGCTGGCCCATCTTAATCAGTCCTTTGGGCCACCCGTTCTGCATGAGCGGAGCCAAGAGGTTTTCTGGTTGCCCGCCGGGTCCCCGGGAGCGCCGGTCTCCCAGCCGGCTGACGCTGACCACGGATTCGCCATGCGCAAGGATGTTCTCCTTGTCTCTGCGGCGGGCCAGCTCCTTGCGATCTCGATGTCCGATGAACCAGCAGACGCTGAAGCCCGAGATCACTGCTCCAATGACGAAGGCAGCCACGGAAGAGATGACCAGCAAGTTGACGGACACCAGCCCATTGGGTTCATCCACAAAGCTTTCGGTCACCAGGCCTGTAGGAATAACGTAGAATAACAAAGGGTGGAAGGGACTTTGGAGGTCTTCTAGTCCAGCCCAAATTGGGGGCTACTCGCTTCACAACTGCCTTGCATAATGTAATGAAGGGATTTTATGATGCTTAAGCTTGATATTAGTAATATTGATATTAGTAGGGGTACTCTGTAACCACTATATATAGTAGGGGTACTCTGTAACCACTATAATTTCACGAAGCTGAAAACACCAGCCTGAAGATGACGAATGGGACTTCGTCGAAACGTCGCCAAGACACTTCCAATTTTACGTGGGAGAAAACCCGAACAACCAAAGACCTATATATATATATATATCTATATATATATATATATATATATATATTATATATGTGTGTGTGTGTGTGTGTGTGTGTGTGTGTGTGTGTGTGTGTGTGTGTGTGTGTGTGTTTTCTGAGGTTTTTCGCGGGTGTTTGTATGTAGGTCTTTGTTATTTGGATTTCTCCCGCGTAAAATTGGAAGTGTCTTGGCAACGTTTCGACGAAGTCTCATTCGTCATCTTCAGGCTGGTGTTTTCGGCTTCGTGCTTCTCCTAGAAGCACGAAGCCGAAAACACCAGCCTGAAGATGACGAATGGGACTTCATCGAAACGTCCAATTTTACCGGGAGAAAACCCAAATAACCTTTAACATGCAGATAGCCCAGGTTCGAATCTCAGAAGAGTAAGTCTGGCTGAAGAGAGTTAAAGGAACTCGAAATAGCTATACCAGTTCTCTTTATTCTTTGTTAGCAAGCTAAATATATATATATATATATATATATATATTTGTTTTCTGAGGTTTTCGCGGGTATTTGTATGTAGGTCTTTGGTTGTTCGGGTTTTCTCCCACGTAAAGTTGGAAGTGTCTTGGCGACGTTTCGACGAAGTCCCATTCGTCATCTTCAGGCTGGTGCTTTCAGCTTCGTGCCTCGAGCAGCAATGTGTGGTCTTAGCTGTTTCTTCCTTTTAACTGCCAGTGGGGGTATGAACTGATTGGGTGGGAGCTTGGCTGTGTTCTGATTGGGTGGAGGTGTGTTCTGATTGGTTAGGGGCGTGGCTGTGCTCTGATTGGCTGGGGGGTTGGCTGTGCTCTGATTGGCTGGGGGAGTGTTCTGTTTGGTTGTGCTCAGGTTAGTCTGAGTTGCAGAGGGGTTTAAGATTTTGGGCTGCCTTGCTATTTTTTGGCTTCGCGTTTGTGGTCGTGCCTCATTTTCATGGAGGGTGTCAGTTTGCTTCATGTATGGATTGGAGGGCTTTAAAGTGGCTAATGATGCAGCTCTGGTCTGGCTTCTGGTTTGTGGTCGTGCCTTATCATCGGTGTGGCTTTGGGTTTGCTTTTTGCGTGGATGTGTGGTGGTGACATGCCAATCAGAGCACAGCCAATCAGAGCACAGCCAACCCCCCCAGCCAATCAGAGCACAGCCACGCCCCTAACCAATCAGAACACACCTCCACCCAATCAGAACACAGCCAAGCTCCCACCCAATCAGTTCATACCCCCACTGGCAGTTAAAAGGAAGAAACAGCTAAGACCACACATTGCTGCTCGAAGCACGAAGCTGAAAACACCAGCCTGAAGATGACGAATGGGACTTCGTCGAAACGTCGCCAAGACACTTCCAATTTTACGCGGAGAAAACCCGAACAACCAAAGACCTACATATATTCAGAACACACCTCCACCCAATCAGAACACAGCCAAGCTCCCATCCAATCAGTTCATACCCTCACTGGCAGTTAAAAGGAAGAAACAGCTAAAACCACACATTGCTGCTCAAAGCAAGAAGCTAAAAACACCAGCCTGAAGATGACGAATGTGACTTCGTCGAAACGTTGCCAAGACACTTCCAATTTTACGCGGGAGAAAACCCGAACAACCAAAGACCTATATACAAATACCCGCGAAAACCTCAGAAAAATATATATATATATATATATATATATATATATATATATATATATATATATATATATATATATATATTTGTTTATGTGCAAGCAGCATATTGGGAAATTAGTTATACAAAAGCAAATGTTTCATGCTTTAGGTATAGGTGATTGCTTACGTGAAAAGAGCACGGTAAGGGGAGAGGAAATGGAGTTACGGATGGAGCCTGGGTTGCTGAGTAGGAGTCATCATCTTGGAATTGTTTTTTGGGGCTATCTTATGCTTGCTACCAAGATCTGATCTTTTTGTTCTGGAAAGGTATAAAAGGTGGAAAACACCTTTCCTGGTTGTTGCCTTCATCTCTCCACCAGCCACGAAGAGAGATGGGGTCACCCAACTCCATTTTGATCAAAATAAATGTTTGCTTGCTGAAACCTCAGCTCAGGAGTTTCTTTGGCTCTTTTAAATTCCTGAGTAACGCTGGGACAATTGTGAGGCTAAGTGGAAAACCTTATAGTAATATTATATTTCTGCAAGGGAATTCTGGGAGTTGATGTTCACGCAGCTGAAAGCTGCTATGGGGGCGAAACACTGTTGTACGCTAAATGAAGCCAGTTCCTCTATTCCCCCTTTAACAATAACAAAATATCAGAGTTGGAAGGGACCCCTGGAGGTCTTCTAGTCCAGCCCCCTGCTCAGGTAGGAAACCCTATACCAGTGGTTCTCAACCTTTTTAATACCGCGACCCCAAACCGGTGGTGAGTCGAGGACTACTCAACCGGTTGTAAGTCGAGGACTACTCAACTGATGCAGCACCGTTTGCAGAATGGGACTTTTGGCGGGCTCAGCAGGGCAGAGACAGCCTGGACAATTCCTATTGGCTTTTGAAAGCCAATAGAATTAGACTCTATTCAAGAGAGTCTATTCTATTGGCTTTCAAAAGCCAATAGAATAAAAGCTAAGGGAAAGGGGAAAAACATGGCGGGCTGTATAGTTTGGCGACCCCCGTGAAATGGTCGTTCGACCCCAAATGGGGTCCCGACCCACAGGTTGAGAACCACTGCCCTATACCATTTCAGACAAGTGGCTGTTCAATCTCTTCTTGAAAACCTCCAGTGTTGGAGCATTCACAACTTCTGGAGGCAGGTGGTTCCACTGGTTAATTGTTTCCTTAATTCTAGGTTTGATCTCTTTTTTTATGATCTTCTTGTCCTGCCTTCAAGTGCTCTGGAGAATAGGCCAAGCCCGTTTTTTTCCGTGACAGCCCCTCCAATATTAGAGGAGAGTTATCATATCACCCCATGTCCTTCTTTTCACTAAAATGAAACAAGTAGAAATAAAATAAAATAAAATTGGCTGTGGTATGACTGGCCAATATAGCCTCAGAATTTTGCGGAATAAATACTACTCTTGTAGTATTTTATTTGTGTACAGGTAGTCCTCAACGTATGACCCCAACTGAGCCCCAAATTTACGTTGTTAAGTGAGGCAGTTGTTAAAGTGAATTTTGCCCCATTTTATGACCTTCCTGGCCACATTTGTTTTAAGCGAATCACTTCAGTTAATGTCATAACAGGGTCGTTAAGAGAATCCGGCTTCCCCATTTGACTTTGCTTGTTAGAAGGTCGCAAAAGGGGATCACGTGACTTTGGGATACTGCAAACTGTCATAAATACAAGTCAGTCAGTTAGTAAGCCTCTGAATTATGATCACGTGACCACGGAGATGCTGCGACGGTTGTATCTGTGAAAAAACAGTGGTAAGTCATTTTGGACAGCTCTTTGTCTGAAATGGCATAGGGCTGGGGTAGGCAACCTTGGCCCCCTCATGACTTGTGGACTTCAACTCCCAGAATTCCTGAGCCAGCACGGCTCAGCTTACCTACCCCTGGTCTAGTAGAAACTTCTAGAGCAGGGGTAGGCAACCTTGGGTCTTTTATGACTCATGGACTTCAACTCCCAGAATTCCTGAGCCAGCACGGCTCAGCTTGGAAACCTCTCCCTTTCCCCTCAGCGTAGCTGGTTCAGGAATTCTGGGAGTTGAAGTCCACGAGTCATAAAAGAGCCAAGGTTGCCTACCCCTGGCATAGGGTTTCCTGCCTGAGCAGGGGGTTGGACTAGATGACCTCCAAGGTCCCTTCCAACTTTATTATTATTATTAGTTTTTTGAGTAACTTTGGTCACTAAACGAACTGTTGTAAGTCGAGGACCTCCTGACGTTTTATTTTTTTAATATTGTAAGCCGCCCAGTACTTACTACCTGGTAGTAAGATGGGCGGCTAATAAATGGGATAAATAAAGAAAATTAAAATGAAGTAAACAATTTGTACTCTCTAGCTGAAGATGGCCTGTTTGTCAATCAGTCTGGGCCAGGAATAGGCAACCTTGGCTCTTTTATGACTGGTGGACTTCAACTCCCAGAATTCCTGAGCCAGCCTGGCTCAGCTTGGAAACCTCTCCCTTTCCCCTCAGCGTGGCTGGCTCAGGAATTCTGGGAGTTGAAGTCCACGAGTCATGAAAGAACCAAGGTTGCCTACCCCTGGTCTAGACAGTCACTTGTCTGAGATGGTATAGGTCAGGGGTAGGCAACCTTGGCTCTTCTATGACTGGTGGACTTCAACTCCCAGAATTCCTCAGCCAGCATGGCTCAGCTTGGAAACCTCTCCCTTAGTGTGGCTGGCTCAGGAATTCTGGGAGTTGAAGTCCACCAGTCATATAAGAGCCAAGGTTGCCTACCCCTAGTCTGGGCTTTCTATCAGGGTTAGGCAGTTAATCTCAGATCTCCAGAAACTGAACTCAAAAGTCGGAAACAGGCAGAATCAGCCAAAACTGGAAGATTTGACCTGTAGACTCTGGAACCGGGAGTGATGCTCACCTTCAC